CTTTGTATCAGTTCAGCAAGAGGCCATCAATGGGTCCAACAGTAGAGGAAGCAGAGGAAGCTTTTATAAATAAATAAATGGACTTTATAAATGAAAAGTGGAGTTATATGAGCAATAGACTGGGTGGGATTGGCTCCCATTGGTCAGCCTGCACAGCGCCAAACCTATTTCCTCACCACACTGTTCTGGAAAGTTGCAGTGACCCTCCTGTTGGGAGGATGCCATTGCAGTGCAAGCCAGCTCCACCTTCATTGATGTGCAGTCCCTTTTAATTACCCCTGATAAACTCCTCAGGGAGGGAAGAGGCACAATGATTTTGTGTGGGAGGGCAGGCAAACTCCTATGCACGCCTTCCCTTGGGAGGAGAAGATAGGCAAATTCACACCCACCAATGGGTATCCACACCCTGTGCGAGGAACAACAGTGTTTTTCAGGAATCCAGGATAGCTGCAATGTCTTACTGGATTATTAAACTATTTCTTTTCTTCTCAACTGAGAATTATATGGGTTGGCCTAGGCTCTTCTTTTCCACATGGCATAGATTGTTCTCCTATAAAAGCCACCAGCATTGGCCAAGGCGAGGTCCTTGTCTCTGTGCCTCTGAGTTTAAGGGAAATGGCGTTTGGTGAAACTCTGTGGATGCTGATATTATATACAACTATTTTCATTCATTTCTTGCTGTTAGTGTGGGGAGTTTCTTATCGTCTTACCAGGACCCACCTGCCTCGAGGACTGTCCTATCGCCTAATAATACTGCTTTATGATTTCGCAGTGGGATATGGATTGGCACTAGTAAGTATATTTTACATATATCATGGGGATGAAGACACCTCTATGAAAGGGGCTGCAACCCTTTAGAGTCAATAAAATAATTTAGAATAATTCTTTTAAAAAATGCTCATTAATTTGAAAACATTGAAACCAATCTGATACCCATTCTTTAATTTCTTCTAACTTTTTCATTTTACATGCATTACCAGAAAAACACGGTAAGTACCCCAATTCTCTTGAATGTTTAATTTCCTTAGTGCACTGGCTTCAATAGGAGATAATCATAAAAGTGATTTCCGTTCAAGTAAATTTTGATATCTGGTCAAAAAATTTTTATCTCCCGCCCTCTGCTGCCCACTACTTTCTTTCTCTTCTAAAAGAAAATCACCAAGCTGCTTTATTGCTTCCAGTACCTTAACCACATTTTTCATCATGAACAATACCACATCAAATGCCCTCCGTTTGTAAGTTTGAAGACTCACTTGGAGGCTTCGTATATCATTTTCTCTAATATCCCCACACAACACTTCTAAAACCAAAATAAACAATAATGGTGAAAGTAGACAACCTTCTCTTGTTTCCTTGCCAATAATGCATTTTTACTATAAAATTCTGTTTACTGTTTGCAAATCGCTCTGTATATAATGTATTTATTCCTCTCACAAATTTCTCCCTGAACCCCATTTTATCTAGTAATTCCCGCCCCCAACTCCAAGAAGCATTACACTGGTCAACAACAAATTTGTTGTCTGCATTTTTTCAGTTGATTTAGGACGAATCTGATGCGCTGAATCCAAAAATCACATTGGTTTTGCTCAATCAGGTCAAGTTTTTGAGCTATGGCCACATGTCATTTTTTTACCTTTTTGTTCACATGTACGCTTGTGTGGAGCATTTTAGAAGAAGTTGGTGGGGGTGAAATGCCATGTCGAATAATTGTTTTGATTGGAAATGATTATTTTAATGACAAGAAGTATTCAGGTCCAATAGTTCTGGGTGATTATGTCGAAAAGGGATCTGTTTGAAGTCATAAAACCTCGAAATCTTCCATAAATTGGTGTGGCTGGGATCAACAGAAAGAACCGGAGCAGCCTCAAGTATCCTGATCTTCAATCAGCACGTCGTCCTGTAGCTCATTGTGATGAAATTCCACTTCCTATCTTCGGAGAACTTCCTGACATTAGTGACGAAGATGCCTCCAGTGTTGAAGGACATAAAGAAGAAGTGGTTCTTGAAGATGATGCTCCACATCCATTTCCCCAAAAGGAGTTGAATGATCTAGTTTGCGACCTCAGCTTGTCAAAGGACTCTGCTGAACTGTTGGCATCCTGATTGAAGGAAAAAAACCTCCTCTCTGACAGTGCTTGCATCAGCTTCTTCCGCAACAGGCATCAAGATTACCTCCGTATTTTCTCAGAAGAGAAGGACTTGGTGTACTGTGCAGATATTGCGCAGCTTCTGCTCAAGCTTGGAGTGCCACAGTATGAACCCAAAAATTGGAGACTGTTCATTGACAGCAGCAAGCGATCACTGAAACGTGTTCTGCTACACAACGGCAACCAGTTTGCCTCTATACCCCTGGCTCACTCGAATACACTGAAGGAGAACTATGAAGCGGTGAAGTATGTGCTGGAGAAAATTGGTTATGATCAGCATAAGTGGTTTACAGTGGTGCCTCGCAAGACGAAAAGAATCCGTTCTGGGAGTCTCTTCGTCTAGCGGTTTTTTCGTCTTGCGAAGCAAGCCCATTGATGGGATTAGCGGATTAGCGCTATTAGCGCTATTAGCGGCTTTTAGCGGCTTTTAGCGGCTTTTAGCAGCTTATCAGTTTATCGGATAAGCAGATAAGTGGCTTAGCGACTTAGAAAAAGAGGGGGAAAAGGAAAAAAAAAACCCAGGAACTCGCAAGACATTTTCGTCTTGCGAAGCAAGCCCATAGCAGATTCGTTTTGCGAGGCACCTCCAAAACGGAAAACTCTTTCGTCTAGCGAGTTTTCCGTCTTGCGAGGCATTCGTCTTGCGGGGCACCACTGTATTTGTGTTGACCTGAAGATGGTGAACTTTTTGTTGGGACAACAGTCTGGCTTCACCAAGTACCCATGTTTTCTGTGCATGTGGGAAAGTAGGGACTGTGCTCAGCATTACACAAAGAAGGACTGGCCTGTGCGGGAGGAATTGGTGCCTTGCAAAAAAAGGAACGTCATCAATGACCCTCTGGTGGACAGAGACAGAATACTCTTCCCACCGCTGCACATCAAGCTTGGCTTAATCAAGCAGTTCACCAAGGTTCTGGACAAGGATGGTGACAGCTTCACTTACTTGTGCCAGGCTTTTCCAGGATTGACCATGGAGAAGTTGAAAGCTGGCATCCTTGACGGTCCTCAGATCCGTCAGCTCATCAGAGATCCAGAGTTCGGAAAGTCAATGAACGAAGTGGAACTGGAAGCGTGGAAGGCATTTGTTCTGGTAGTGAAGAACTTTCTTGGCAACAATAAGGCCAGAAACTACGCAGAACTTGTCAACAACATGCTGACTGCTTTCAGAAACCTGGGCTGCAACATGAGCATCAAGATGCACTACCTATTTTCACATATGGACCGGTTTCCTCAGAAACTGGGTTCAATGAGTGACGAGCAGGGGGAGAGATTCCATCAGGACATGAAAGAGATGGAGACCAGGTATCAGGGTCGCTGGGACGCAGTCATGATGGCTGACTACTGTTGGACTCTGAAGAGAGACCTCCCTGCCGCTGAGCATTCCAGGAGTTCCAAGAAACTGAAGTTCAAGCCCTGAAGTTTGAAAAATGGTGAAGCAACATGCAATTTACGTGTACTTACCTTTATCAATGCCCACCATTCAGTTTACAGTAAACCTGACCTGATGAAGAGAAACGGATGCCATTTCCTGATTCAGCAGTGCAAAAATACCCTAAATCAGTTGTAGAAATCTAGACAACATTCAAAAAGTAAAAAATTGTTCCCAGTGAATTATCAAACGCTTTCTCTGCATCTAGAAAAATCATGGGTAATTGCTAATCTTTTCTTTTTTCAAAATATTCAGTAGCATTTAATACAATTGCAACATTATCTTTTAACTGCCTCATTGGCAGAAATGCTGTCTAGTCTTCATGTATTAAGTTTCCTAACACTTGTTTGAGTCTTCTTGCTAATATTGCCGCAAACCATTTATAATTACAATTAAGCAAAGTAATAGGTCTATAATTATTGACTTGGGCTGGGTCATGATCTTGTTTTGCTATCAATGTGATATTGGCATACTCATAATAATTTTATTATTTATATCTCGCCCATCTGGTTGGGTTTACCCAGCCACTCTGGGTGGCTTACAGCATATATAAGCATAATAAAACATCAAACATTAACAAACAGAATATCTTATACAGACTAAAATAAACCTATAAATCAATATAAAATAATAATAATAATAATAATAATAATAATAATAATACGCAAATTAAAACAGCTGCCAATCCCAACAAGACATTTAACCAACCCCAACCCAACAAAAACAAAACAGGGGAACTAAAATTAAAGATTTTAAAACTTTTTAGCCAGTTGCCACATCCCAAGAGTTGTTCCATCAATGCCCCTCTGGCCTCCCAGCATCCCCTTTTAGCTGTTCAAGGTGAGTCTGGTCCCTGCCCCCTAGGCCAAGGGGAAATGGGCCTTTCAGCAGGGAATGGTCTTCCAAGTATCAGGTATCTCACCCTGTGTCAAAGTACTGGTCATGATCATTTCTAAAGGCTGGATTAGACGGTCCCAAAATACTTTTTTAAGTATTAAAAAATTGTAAGTGGAAAAATATCTAATGCTAATTATGCACGCTAAATGTTTTGTTTTAAACAGGTAGGAATTCTGGAAAAAATGGGCATCTGCCATAGATATTCCATAATCAGGACCATGTGCCTATTCATTCCGATAATGAAGGACTCCAAACTGATCATAAAGGACCTGGTTTTTGATGGGGTGCCTGTGAGGGTGTACTGGCCCAAGACATCGCCTGCTGGGAACAGGAGAGGAATCATCTATCTTCATGGAGGTGCTGGGGTGTTTGGAAGCATCCGTAAGTTCTGTGAAATGTGTTTGAAATGGTTAACTGTACAGTAGAACCTCTATTTACAACCACCACCACTTGCGGATGTTCTAAGTTGCGACCACGACAAACCTGGAAGTAACGGGCGGGTTTGCTGCCGTTCGCGCCTGCACAGAAGCGGGCAATTGTCGTCCCTGCCTGCGCACAATGGCGCCTCTCCCAGCGACCCGTTTCGCCATAAGGACGGGCCTCCGGAACGGACTGTGGTCGCTAGTAGAGGTTCCACTGTATTGTTAGAAGAGAATTTGTCATCGTAATTTAATGTAAAGATCCTGAAATGTTTGCCGTGGACGAGGGTGGGGTGGGGGTGATTTGTGCAGCCTATACATGGTTGTTGTTGTTGTTTTCTACAATCAAGTAGCATATATATTTTGTGAAATAATAATAATAATAATAATAATAATAATAATAATAAATTTATACCCCGCCCATCTGGCTGGGTTTCCTTAGCTACTCTGGGCAGCTTCCAATAAAATATTAAAATACAATAGTCCTTCAGATATTAAAAGCTTCCCTAAACAGGGCTGCCTTCAGATGCCTCCAAAAAATATGGTAGGGTGGGCACTACTACGGAGAAGACCCTCTGCCTGGTTCCCTGTAACTTCACTTCTTGCAGTGAGGGAACTGCAAGAAGGCCCTCGGCGCTGGACCTCAGTGTTGGGGCAGAACGATGGGGGTGGAGACGCTCCTTCAGGTATACTGGACGGAGGCCGTTTAGGGCTTTAAAGGTCAACACCAACACTTTGAATTGTGCTCGGAAACGTACTGGGAGTCAATGTAGGTCTTTCAAGACCGGTGCTATGTGGTCTTGGCGGCTGCTCCCAGTCACCAGTCTAGTGGCCGCATTCTGGATTAGTTGTAGTTTCCGGGTCACCTTGAAAGGTAGCCCCACGTAGAGCGCATTGCCGTAGTCCAAGCAGGAGATAACTAGAACATGCACCACTCTGGCGAGACAGTCTGCGGGCAGGTAGGGTCTCAGCCTGCATTCCAGATGGAGCTGGTAAACAGTTGCCCTGGACGCAGAATTGACCTGTGCCTCCATGGACATTAAAAACAGACATTTATGACACAGCAATATTAGTCATATCCAGTCCTTTTTTTCTAGAAAAAGAGGTGCCAGTACTCAGCATGAAGTTGTTAAGGTAAATGCCACACTTTTAAACAACAACAACAAAGAGGTGCCGGTACTGCATACCCTTGTGTACCCCCTGGGGGGAAAAGCATTGGTCATATCTGTTAATTTCAACAGGTTTACTTTCAGTAGGACTAACTCACAGTGGATTCAACTCACAGTGATTTCAATGTGAACGACCAAGGAAATGTGTAATGGAGCATAACAAATAATTGCTCACAGCAGGCAGTGTGTGATCTGTTTTTCCCCCCTAGGAACCTCTGAAATGATCTGCCGTTCCATTGCCCACCAAACTGAATCAGTGGTTATGTGTGCTGAGTAAGTATCTTCATGCTTGTTGTAGCAGAAAAGTTTTGGGGAGGGGGGGAATAAAGAAAATAATTATCCCCCCCCAGCCGCGGCTTCAGCGCACCCCGCGCTCCGGGCAGCAGGCTGCTATCCGCAGCCTAGGGAGCCCTGCGGGAACTCCCGCGGGCTCCCCAGGCTTGCTGATAGCTTCCTGAAGCCTGGAGAGCGAGAGGGGTCGGTGCGCACCGACCCCTCTCGCTCTCCAAGCTTCAGCGAAACCCTGCATTCGCCCCATAGGACGCACACAGATTTCCCCTTCATTTTTGGAGGGGGAAAAGTGCGTCCTATAGGGCGAAAAATACGGTATTTCCCCTCACTTTTTAACCCTTCCACATGAGCCCAGAAAAAAGCTGATTTTGCCAACATAGTGAATTTGCCAACCTTTAGAATGGGTGTTCACCTTTGTATTTTGATTTTTATGCCTTTGGACCCAATCCCTCTGGCTTTAATGATAAGAAGAGCTCTGCTGGATCAGGCCATTAAACTACTTTTACAGAAAAGCACCACATCAACCCATAAAAAGCCATTAGGATTCTTCTCCTAAGGCAAAATGGCCCTGCGGTTGAGAGGGAAAGTGCAGCTGGAGTTAAGGTGAACTTCTCTCCGGCAAATAAGCTCAAGCTGTTCCCAACTGTCCCGTCAGCCACACTTACCATCCAATGAGAGCAGTGGTACATTGGGCAATGGGAGAAGTGTCATTTGCCAGGGCTTCAGAGCCCTTTACAAGGCAAGCCTTCCCGACAGTAATGGACATCATCTCTCCCAATGGCTGCCCTCACTGCCTTAATGCACCTTTGGTGCATGATCTGAAGCCTCCTGGCCAAGGTGGGTGAACTGGAGTTCTTGGCTTTAAGGCCATATGGTTTAAAGTGGGCAGAAAGAGTGAGAAGCACTGATCTCAGGAAGGCATGGTGGGACATACTAGAGGTGATTCAGAACTGGGGTTGTTTTCCTGAGATGGAAAAGGAAATCAAGGAAACATTCAAAATATAGAAGTTGGTTATATTAGGCATGTCATGTGGAAAGTGGCCTGGGGAAATGTGTTTGTCGCTCTCTCTGAACTCTAGAACATGTGGACATTCAATGAAGCTGAATGCTAGAAGATTCAGATAAAGAAAGAACTTATCCATACAGTGCAAAATTAAACTATGGAACTAATTCCCACAGAAAGCAGAGAAAGCTTCCAATGTGGATGGCTTTGAAAAGGGATTAAATAATTGGGCAGAGTATAAGGCTACCAGTGGCTCCTAGCTATGCTGGCTATAGTCTGCCTCTATGGTCGGAATCAGATTTGACCAGCGGCCACTGAGAATGGGATGCTGAACTAGCATTATATTTGGGTGCAGAGCATCAGCCACAGGGGCTGAATGTTGCACTCTGGGCCACTTCATTTCCCTCTGACCCCAGACCCCACCCCTGCACCATTGCCCCTCTTTTGCACCATCCTTGAGTGGCATCTGACTGGTGTGAATGTGTCTTGCTTGCTTGGTTGGAGGGTAGAGAAAGGTGTGTGGCTGTGTGTAGGAACCAACCTACTTGTCCAGTGGGAAAGTTCGCATTTGCTTTCCATTTTGCTCTCTGGTCCGCCCACAGCTGACATGTGGCCCCCAGGAAGGTTGCATAGAAAGGAATGTGGCCCTAGGGGTGCCACCCTTGCAATATGCCATTGCAGGAAAATGCTGCAAAGTGTATGATGTGTTATGTACTGAAGTTCTCACCCTGGGCCAGCAGGGGGATACTGTAGATAGTTATGCAAATGAAGGATCGAAAGTGACGTTCAGTGATTGGATAGTTTGTATGCAAATGAAGGATTGAAAGTGACATTCAGTGATTGGCTAGTTACAGAAAATGGTTACTGTTGCATTCTATTGGAGCTCTATATAAGCAGGCTGACCGAGCTCCTCAGTTCAGTTCTGTTCCAGCTTACAAATAAAGAGCTGCTTTGGAAGAATCGCTGTGTCGTCTGATATGTTCGCCCATGACTTAACATGATGAATGCTGATGACATCTTGCCTTCTCTTTAGGTTTCGTTTAGCTCCTGAGCATCCGTATCCAGTCCCTGTACTGGACTGTTTAACTGCTGTAATATACTTTATGAAAAATGCAAAGGAATATGGAGTGGACGCCAGCCACATTGCCATTGCTGGGGAGAGTATTGGAGGCACTTTTACTGCAGCCATTTGCCAAGAACTGGTGACCAGAGAGGACCTCCCAAGAGTGCGAGCTCAGGTCCTCATTTACCCATTCCTCCAAGGAATGGACTTCAATCTGCCATCCTATCAGCAAAACCATTCAATTCCTCCCTTGTTCCGGAAAAGAGCTGTCAGTCTTGGTTTGACATATCTCACTGGGAAGACAATGAATGTAGATGGAGTTCTGAAAGGCGCCCATGTCCCTCCTGATTTGAGAGAGAAATACCAAAAATGGATCAATGCTGATAACATTCCGGAAGAATTTAAAGCTAGGGGCTATGTTCCTGTAGAACCTGCTCCATTTTCAGAAGAACTTTATGAACAAGTTAAAAGAGGTACTGAGACAATGTTTGCCCCCCTTCTAGCAGAGGATGACATAATCCGCCAGCTCCCGGAGACTTTCATTCTAACCTGTGAATATGATGGATGCCGGGACGATGGGCTGTTGTACAAGAAGCGGCTAGAGGACAATGGTGTGCCAGTGACATGGTATCATGTTCAAGATGGATTCCACGGAATAATGGCCTTTGCTGGTTGGGGGCCACTTGAATTCCCGAGCACACAGAAATGTTTGCAGAGTGTAATACAGTTCTTAAAAGATTTATAGAAATGAATGACCTTCTTTGTCTTCCAATGGCTGTCTTCTGCTTCTGTGGAGGGAAATTTTGTTCCTCATTGTGCCAATCCTTAAGTTAAAAGAAAAACTCAGGTCCAAGGTTTTGTCAGGCTAATTTATTAAAATCACCATTGTGTTTGTAAGTACATAAGCAAAGCTCTGTTGGACCAGGCCATTGCCCCACTTTGTCCATAATCCTACTCTCACAGAGACCAAGCAGGTGCCTCCTGAGATGCCCACAAACAGGACCTGGGTGCAAGAGAAGTTTCCCTGCTTGTAATTCCTAGCAAATAGCATTAATACTGCATGCAGTAGTGGAGGGGAAACATACCCATGGCCTCCTCTATGAATTGGCCCAATCCTCCGTTAAAACCGTCCAAATGGGTCACCAACATTGCCTGTTGTGTTTGCTAATTCCAATGAATAACCGTAGTGCCAAAATAATTGGAACATTTTAGAGACTGAGGAGACATCATGCTTGTGACATCTAATTTATCTTATACAGTGGTACCTCAGGTTAAATACTTAATTCGTTCCGGAGGTCCGTTCTTAACCTGAAACTGTTCTTAAACCGAAGCACCACTTTAGCTAATGGGGCCTCCTGCTGCTGCTGCTGCGCCGCCGGAGCCTGATTTCTGTTCTTATCCTGAAGCAAAGTTCTTAACCTGAAGCACTATTTCTGGGTTAGCAAAGTGTGTAACCTGAAGCGTATGTAACCTGAAGCGTATGTAACCTGAGGTGCCACGGTATTTTAAAAACACACAAAATAACAGACTGATGTCAAAACAGAACACCATATCTATCTGTGCAAAGTTACTTCATGACAATCAGTGCTTTTTTCCTGGGAGTACTTAAGGGTGTACACATTACCTGCACATTTTTTTCTTGAAGAAAAGCATTGATGACACTCCATGGAACTATCCATTCTCCAACCTAGCAGGGCACCGCATTATTATTATTATTTTTAACCAGGCCGCTCATGTATCTCCCAAGAGTGTTTTAAGTGGTGGGTCCGGCAACTTACTTTACTGCAAGAAGATCTCATCCAAACTACTAACAAACCTGATACCTGAGAGTTGTTCCTATGAGCTAAAAGATGGGTCAGACGAACAATTTCAGAGGTTAACCCCCCCCCACTAAGTTATGTTAAAGGGTAGCTTGGATGAATATTCCCTTTTTTCAAATGCTTTTTATTGATTTTTTCACAAACAAATAAAACTTAATTTTTTACAATCAACATTTTGTGTCGTCTTATTTACATTGCGTAAGTTCACGCCCAGACTTCCTTCCTTCCCTGCTTCGGTTTTCTTAATTTATATTTTCTCTTGCAGATTCTTATTTACCCTCTATACACATCACAGGATTTATGTTAACCCTGCTAAAGTTTTTAAACTTCTACAGTTAATTCTTATGTATGCAACAAATTTACTCCACTCTTCTTCAAACTTTGTCCCTTTTTGGTCTCGAATTTTATAAGTCATTTTAGCCAATTCTGTATACTCAAAAACTTTGGTCTGCCACTCCATTGCCATTGGGATCTCCTGTGATTTCCACTTTTGAGCCACAAGAATCCTGGCTGCAGCCATGGCATATTGAAATAGTTTACGATCCTCCTTTTTCACCTCCTCCCCTATTATCCCTAATAAAAAAGCCTCTGTTTTTTTAGGGAATGTATACTTAAAAAGTTTCTTCAGTTCATTATATATTAGATCCCAAAACTTTTTCATCTTTTCACACGTCCACCACGCTTGGATGAATATTCCCAAAAGGGACAGAACCTCCCTCCCTCCCCCACCCTTCCTTTTGCATGTCAAGAGAGGCTGGCATCCTTCCTCATCACAGACCCCCTTCACTTGGTCTACCCGCTTCCCACACCTCACATTGAGGAGCCGCAGCGCCGCCACCCGCAGAATCCCACCAAAACCAACCCTGTCACGTGTCAAAGGCAAGGGGTGTACGGGCACCTCCCCAGCCTGCAGCCTCCCTTCCCATCCCCTCTCCCCACCCTGCCCACTGCTGGCACTCAATTCTCACCTACGATGATGCCTTGGTGTCGCTGGCTCTCCTCACAACCCAGGCGGCCTGGGGTCTGCTCTGCCTTTTGGGAGACACCCTGCCAGGGGCGGAGGAAAGGGGGTGAGGTGGGGGTGGGCCGCCCCGGGTGTCACCACTGAGGGTGGCTGGGCGGTAGTGCACCTGAGCCACACGTCTCTCCTGGGAGTGATGCGGTGGCTTGGGCGCCCACAGGCTCCACGCTGCCCCAAACGGTCCACCCACCGCCTCCCCCTCAGCTGTAGGGCGGCTGAGTGGGAGGAGGCAGGCAGACTCCTCGGAGGCCCTGTGGAGCATCCTGACCCGGCTTGCGCCACCCTGCCCCACGGGCAGCTGCTCCTGGGCGCAAGGCATGTGTGCCACCCCAGGCGCCTGATTGGCTTGCTCCGCCACTGCACCCTGGGAGATCTTGAGCATAAGATCATGGATTGTAGAATTGGAAGGGATCCTGAGGGTCATTTAGCCCAACCCCCTGCAATGCAGGGATATGCAGTTGGGTCATTCCATGGCCAGTGATCCAGGGACTTTTACCTTACCCTTTTACATTGCTTTCATTTTCAGTTTCCTAAAAGTAGAATAAGAGAAGGTCCCAGATATCTTTTTTTATTTTAAATCCCAGCTCGTTTTGTGATTTACGAGGGTTTGAAGTTAAAAAAACTGACAGTTTTGTCCTTGCCAGACTACACAAAAACCTTAAAAGCTCAGCCCAGAATTGAGATATTTCAAAACTAAAAATACCAATCTCTTCAGGACCTCATGGGCATTACTATGACATGGCACATGGTGGACTTGGTCCAAATTTGAAAGTTAAGTTACATAATTTAACATATTTAAAAGTGATTTAAAGAAATTAAAATAATTTAAAAAATTCCATTTTTTATTTATTGATTATTTCATATTTCTAAGAGCTTCTTGCAAAATTTCATCCCATCTCAATGGGATCACATTAAATATATCTATATCTATATCTATATCTATATCTATATCTATATCTATATCTATATCTATATCTATATCTATGTGACAGCAACCACTCCCTGGGAAAAGGCTAAACCAGGTGAGGTTAGCCAATGGGTCTCAACCCCTCTGGCAGAGTGAGTGGACGAGACCAATAGTGGGTTCAACAGTCAAGAAGGCTGTAAAGGCACATGCTGTAGAGGGAATGAGGGACAGATAAGGACCCAGGACAGGAGCCTTAGAGAATGGTGGGAAGATAGGGACCTTCAGTCTGGTTTCCCCGAACCGCCCCCCCCCCCACTTAGGCTGTCTGCTGCTTCTGTTTCGTTTCATTTGTTCAAATGAAGATATATATTTCTCTTCCCGCTCGTTTCTTCTTTTACTACTAGTGAGTGATTTTAAGGCAAGGGAAGGCACATTGGTGTCATGGCCCCTGAGCAGTCTTTAAGTGATGCTCCCTACCACCACTACTGTGGTAAAGGTTGCTATATGTCCAAGAAAACCCAGACATCTCTTTTTCAGGGCCAACATACCCATCCAAGCATATTTTTATATTTTAAAGGAGATGTCTGGGGTTTTTGGACTCGGGCGGTTCTGGCTCCAGCTGCTGTGTACGCCGTGGCTGATGCCAGCCTGAGCTGGGCAATGAGGCGCACAGGGGCAGTGGTGGCAGCCCTGTGTGCCCGCACACCTCTTTCCCTGGCTCGGGCTGGCAGCAGCTCGAGCTGTCCTATTTTTAGCTCTTCAAGATACAGCAAACATGAGGGGCAGGATTCTGAGGGCTCGCTATTGGAAGTGTCCAGACCCAGCAAACAATCCATATTGCCTTCCCCAAGTGTCACGAGTGGGGCTCCTCAACCATGCTTAGGTATCCCTGCCTTCTGAGGTGTGTCATAGCTGTGATGGCTTTGCCTGTTGCTTCTGCCACCCCAGAACAAGATGGCCGCCCAGGAGGAGACAGGTCAGACTTCTTCTCTGACAGGCCCCAGTGTTCTGAGGCAGGGACTTCTCATTCACCCACATGCTACACGTGGATGAGTAATGCTCCTTTCTGTGTCAACTGAGTTTTTCCTTCTTCTCATGGGTTTACAAAGAGGCAAGAGACTCCTTCCCTCATAGTAAAGACAGAAGGGGGATTTCCTCTTCACAGAAAGCCCATAAGAGAAAGAGTTGGCACCATCCAGGAGACGTATGAGAAGGAGATCATGGCTACCCAGCATGGCCAATGCTCAAGGATGATGGGAGTTGTAGTTCAAAAACATCTAGGGACCCAAGGTTGAGACCCAAAGAACACTGTGGGACCCAAAGTTCTCCTCCCCCCAAACACTGAAATTGAAGAGTGCTAGTAAAACAATCCCCTCTGATTCAAACAAGGCCCATCACAAGGGAGCTCTTCTTCTGTGCCCTTTCCCCCACAGCAATGTTGGCTTTCCTTCCTTGCCCTCACCACCTCCGCCCTATGGTGTCATGGCATTAGGTGGTGCCTGCAGCATTATCTTGAGGACAAATCAACACTTGCAACCTTCCATTTGGATTACTGCAACGTGTTATGCATGGAGTTGAATTTGGAAATGGTCTGGAATCTTCAGTTAGTCTCAATAACAACTGTTGGGACAGAGAAAGAGAGAGTGGGGGGACCTGAGAATGTGTTCCACATCCATTGAACTGTACCCAGTTCAGACGAGAATGGGCATGGCTAACTCAGGTCCATAAACTGTATAAGCAGAGGAAGCTTATATAAACAAACAAACAAACAAACAAACAAACAAACTATATAAATGGAAAGTGGAGCTGTATGAGCAGCAAACTGATTTCTGCAAGAGCTATAGACTGGGTAGGATTGGCTCCCATTGGTCAGCCTGCACAGCGCCAAACCTCTTTCCTCACCACACTGTTCTGGAAAGTTGCAGTGACCCTCCTGTTGGGAGGATGCCATTGCAGTGTCGTGCCAGCCAGCCCCTCCTGCATCGTTGTGCCGCCCCTTTTAATTATCCCTGATAAACTCCTCAGGGAGGGAAGAGGCACAATAATTTTGTGTGGGAGGGCAGGCGAACTCCTATTCACAACTTCCCTTGGGAGGAGAAAATAGGCAAATACACACCCACCAATGCGTATCCACACCCTGTGTGAGGAAAAACAGCGTCTTCCAGGAATCCAGGAGAGCTGCAATGTTTTACTAAATTACTAAACTATTTGTTTCCTTCTCAACTGAGAACTATGTGGGTTGGCCTAGGATGTTTTTCCCCCACATGGCATAGGTGGTTCTCTTATAGAACCCACCAGCATTGGCTAAGGTGAGGTCCTTGTCTCTGTGCCTCTGAGTTTAAGGGAAATGTCGTTCGGTGAAACTCTGTGGATGCTGATATTA